TGGGAGTTCCAGTTGATATTTTGTATAAAGAGTTTGAAGATCAACCCATTGCAGCAGCTAGTCTTGGTCAGGTGTTTGGTTTATTTATATTTTTCTTTTGTATCTTAGAAGTGAAATGTGTTCTTTAAGCTCTGAATTGATGTTATACATTCCATCAAATGGTTAACCGTTTATTTAGATTGTAGCTAGACATTGTGCAACTAGTCTTCGATGCGCTGCAAGTAATTCTTCCTGACTTTACTGTTCATAAAATGCTGTTAGGTGCATCGGGCTATCTTACATAATGGTGAGAAAGTTGTTGTAAAAGTTCAGAGACCCGGCCTAAAGAAACTATTTGACATTGATCTGAGTAAGTATTATGCGCTTAAGTTAGTCAATCTTGCTTAATGTTTACTGGAAAGTCAAATCATTCTTCTTTTGATGCAGAAAATTTGAAGTTGATTGCGGAGTACTTTCAGAAAAGTGAAACTCTCGGCGGTCCAACTCGGGACTGGATAGGAATATATGAAGAATGTGCTAAGTAAGCCAGAATTTTCTAATCCATCCTCTTAAGAAGCTAAGACTAATTGGCAATAGCTAGAACAAGCAATTTTCTCCCCTTTATGCTATTTTATTACTCATCTCACTTCCTTATCTCTTGCTGAATTAGTTAAACAATTCAACCTTTCTTTTCATTCTAGCCAATGAAGTCATCTAGTTGTCGAACCCCTTCCATTGATATTGGTTTTTACATTATTTAAAAAAAGAGGAAGTTTTAGAAAGAAGTTTGAGGGTGAAAATTGCGCAAGACCATGTGACCTCAGGGACGATAAAGGTTCAGAAGTCAAACTTAAAGAATGCACATCTGTTATCTGGCAAGAACTGCAGACCTTGATTCTCAGTTAGAGTTGCTTTACTCAGTATTCTATATCCTCTACTTATTTTCAGTATTGCTTCTCATAAGCTTATCGTTTTCTTTTTGTGTGTGGATAATTCAGTGTCCAACAAGTCACCATTTGGTTGAGATTCAATTAGAATCCTCCAATGTTATGTTAAAAAGAAAGGATAAATATCTTCTAAACTTTGTCTTCATGATTATTTTCAGGATACTGTATGAGGAAATCGATTATATAAATGAAGGGAAGAATGCTGATAGATTTCGTCGAGACTTTCGCAATATAAAGTGGGTCCGAGTGCCTGTATGTTTCCTTCCAAGTTCCAACGATAATTTATAATTTTCTGTTTTTGTTTTTCACATTAGCAGTTAATTATTGTGCCTTTATTTTATCAATCATTTTGTGGGGAAAGGGGGAGGGAGAGGTGGGCAGTGCAAACAAAAGAACATTTCTGTCAATCTGGCATTTTTTCGTGACAGTTTCTTCCTTCTATTACTGGTTGTTACTATAAGTCATTTTGTAATACTTTCTTTCTTAACTTTACCTTTCTCTGTTCCAAAATAGCTGGTATACTGGGACTATACAGCAACGAAGGTTTTGACTCTGGAATATGTCCCAGGTAGAATTCTCTCTTTGCTTTCTCCTCCTTTTTGTTCAATAAATACTTTCATTTGATTTATCTGCTTAAGATTTCATTACCTTAATGAGCAGGGATAAAGATCAATCAATTAGATCTAATAGGTACACGGGGTTATAGCCGATCCCGAATTGCTTCACGTGCCATTGAAGCCTACTTAATTCAGGTGAGTTACTTAATTTTGTGATCATTCTAAATTAGCAGGATAGATGCGAATCAGCTAGGTAGTTGCTATTTTCCTGTGTTTGGTACTATTTTTCCTGACATTACCTAAATGCAGATACTGAGGACTGGTTTTTTCCATGCTGATCCACATCCGGGAAATCTTGCAATTGACACTGACGAAGCTTTAATCTATTATGACTTTGGTATGATGGGAGACATCAAGAGTTTCACAAGAGAGAGATTATTGGGTCTTTTTTATGCTGTTTATGAAAAGGACGCGAAAAAGGTCAGTCTAGTGTTTCTTTTGTTGGATTATACCTAAAAAAAAATTAGGAACCCAAATGCTGAGCTAAGCTTATACGCTTTAGTAGTCTTAGTCCAAGCTGATGCAAAAACACCACCTCCTATGGTTATGGTCCCAACCAGCTCTATGTTTATACATTTTTTTTATTAAAAATTCTTTTTTTTTCTTTTTTTGTGTGGTTTTCCTCCTGTCTGTTGAAGGACATTTACTTATTTTTCTTGCGTTTGGAGATTTCTTTCAAATGCTATGGAGTAGATAGAGCCAATCCTTTGTACACATCAATAAGACAAATATTATGTCTACACAGGTTATGCAAGGGCTTATTGATCTGGGAGCACTTCAGCCTACAGGAGACATGTCAGCGGTATGCTATATTTCCTGACCCCCAATCCCTGCAAGAAAAAGGAAAAAAAAAAAGATCGAATAAATTTAAGGGATTATCTAATACTGGCTATCTATTGACACTACCTAAAACTTTTTGTTCTTCTTAGGTGAGGAGATCTATTCAGTTTTTCTTGGATAACTTGTTGAATCAAAGACCAGATCAACAGCAGACTTTGTCTGCAATTGGTGAGGTACGCAGAATTTGCAATTTTTTCTTTAAAATAACAGTTTCTTAGTACTTCTGGCACATTAGGATATCGACTAGAATAATATATGGTGGATTATATTTGCTTCAAATATTTGTATGATTCACTCGTTCAAAAGGTGCTTAAGTCGATTAGCCCAACTTTCTCATGGCATCCCTTTTTGCTTGAAACTCACATTCCCAAGATCCTAAATCGTCTTTTGCAAAGTCTACATCAGAATTTGGAAAATGGTTTAAGAACTCAGACAGACGTGTTGCATTGTTTTGGTTCCATGTCTAGGCACTTACTTTTTGACATTTTTTTACGCGCTGCTATCAAATAAGAAGTTATATTCATAGCTGAAGAAATTCTTATTCTCACGCGCCATAGATGCTTGCATTTTTTCTTCTTCCGCTTTTAATAGTTAGTATACCAGTATTCTATATTACATATTAAAGGACTTGACTGTCAAGGATTAGAACTTAAGAGGTGGCTATTAAAATATAATCTAGTTGGCCAACAAGTCAAGCAAACAAAACAAAGCATTGATTAAGCAAAAAGAATTAGCTGGTGTTGGCATTAGTTCTAATGGTTTTCTGAATCATTAGCTGTTTTGTGAAGCCAGATGGATCACACTCACTAGACTTTTCAACTAACTTGAAACTTCAACTCAAACAATTAATTGCGTAGCTCTGAAATTTGAAGAACTAGAGGTTACTTTCATTTCAAACTACCTTTGCATGTTTCACAAATGTAACAAGAGGATGATATTGCAGGATTTGTTTGCTATAGCAACTGATCAACCATTCCGTTTTCCGTCAACTTTTACATTTGTGATCAGGGCATTTTCCACACTTGAAGGTGCTCTCTCTCTCTCTCTCTCTCTCTCTCTCTCTCTCTCCTCCCTCCCTCCCTCTCTCCGTTCCTCTCTCTAGAAAGAGCGGGGGAACTTCCATTAGTTTTTAAAATAAATGTCAAGATTTCCTCATCTTTTATCAGTCTTAGACTTGATACTGAATGTTTCCATCTGTTGTTGTATTATTGCAGGAATCGGCTATATATTGGATCCTGATTTCTCCTTCCCTAAGATTGCAGCACCATATGCACAGGTTGATGATCAAACATCTACACCTTCAGACAATAAAATGTAGCCCCTTTTATCATCTAATGTTATTCGATTTACCCTGCAGGAGCTCTTGGACTTGAGACAGAAACAGCGCAGTGGTCCTCAGCTTGTTCAGGAAATAAGGAAACAAGCCGATGATGTACCTTACCAAACCTTAATTTGCGTCTTGCTAACAATTTCTTGTTTTAAGATCCTCTCAAATAAGCATCACTGATGTATATACCACCTTATGTGAAATACTTTCAGGCTCGGACATACACTATTTCCATGCCTTACAGAGTTCAGCGGATAGAAGAGATCGTTAAACAGCTTGAATCTGGAGACTTGAAACTCAGAGTTAGGGTCCTTGAGGTAATTAGTCCAATAGAAATTAGTGTGACTTGCATCAATTATTCGATTTGGTTAACGAGCTTATAGTCTTAGACTGCGATCACATTGAATGAACATCTCTAACAAATAGTCTAATGCAAATCATTTCATTTTCTAATACTTCTTGAAATTGTGATCTTTTTAAGTCTGAGAGAGCAGCTAGAAAAGCTACAATTCTTCAAATGGCAACCATGTACACAGTTATAGGGGGCACCCTCCTAAATCTTGGTGTCACATTTAGCAATCAAGGAAGTCAACTATTTGCAAATGGATCTTTTATTGGTGCAGGTGATCTTTTAAAGACTATCTTCAGGTTTAGTAAATTTGAATTGCACTTGTTTTTGCTGCCAAATATTAACCTTATCTTTCTGTATGCAGGTGTTTTTCTTACTCTCTTTATTAGGTCCATGCAACGAGTGAACAAACTTGATAAATTTGAGAAAATGATTTAAAGTCATTATACAATTCCTCCTTTTCCCCCTTTTGGCCTTTGTCTATTTTATTTTTTTTAATTATTATTTTTGTGGGGGAGAGAGGGAGGGGGGAGCTGAAATGTTCCTCATATTTGTAACCATGTCCAGATTTATGTATAGCAATAAATTCATATTTTATACTTCAAATTAAGGAATGCATCTTTTTCTCCAGACTGGAATTACTCTCTCACAATGGTTAAAAAGCTGATATTCTAAAAACATCAGAATAATGTAAATTTCATTCTAAAATTTAGAGTGCCGATGTTGTTGAGAGGAATGATAGGTCATATCCTTCTCAAAATTCCAAAGTATGCGCCACCACAAAATATCAAGAATTTTGTAATGTTCTATCTCATTTTATTTGGCTTTATTCAACAGTTACTCTTTGTTCCAATAAAAAATAATGAGAACAATTTACAGTTACATCCATACTATGTAGACAATTGTAAATAAGGTGAAAATATGAGAAAATACTACTCTAATAAAAATAATAAAAACAGGAAAACACTAAGTAGGCAAATGTTAAAACAATTTGATCAAAGAGCTATGAGCCTTTAGCTTTAAGAATGCCTTGTCAATATGGAGAACCAACAAGCTGCACCACTTAGCACTAACGCACATTAAAACCTGGGCGGGTTGGGCGCGTCAAATGGGTTTGGGCTACTTTTGCCACCCCTACGCATATACAATTATACATTGCAACAACATCTTGCTATGGTTAAGTAGCCTTCTTCCTCTTTTTTGTAAACTTCAAGAAGAGTAAGAAAATGTAACAGTAATTTAAATCTATTCTTTACTTTTCTTGTTTGTTATGAAACTACTCCTGAAGGTTTTAGGAAACTCTCTCCTTAACTCGAGCGGAACAAAATATGCTTCCTCTTGTCTGAGCTGACAGGTTCGGTTGTTAATGGAGACCTGAAAAATGGTAAAGTTAAATGGGGGATGAGCTCAAGGTAAGCTAACAATACAGTAATGGTTAAACAGCTCTTATTCTAAAAAAATCAGAATATGAACAAGACTAGTTCAATTACCTCATGAAGTGATCAACATTTTATGTACTAGAAGCAGCTCCATTTTAGCCTAGAAGCCTCCAATTTGAATTGGTTCTAGTGTAGCTATGCCTGTGGTGAAATCTCTTGCTGTCTTCCGATTCCCGAGAAGTAGCTCTTTTCATTGCGTCATGAATGCAGAGTATTCAACCCACTTGCTTCAAAACATTTTCCGCATCCTCAGATGAAGCAGTATTATGGTTTCTCACAGCATGCTCCTCGGACGAATCATTTTCATCATCATCGGTCACTAAAGAACCTACTTTACTATCCTTAAGTAAATCAGAGAAAGTAGTGGAGTCTGAAATCCAACCAAATCTTGCCATAGCCGTGATTACCTGGCATACTTCGTCTGTATCAGTATCACCTTTCAGCGAAAAACTACGAGCTATAGCACTACAGCTCATACGATTGAGCACAAACCCTTTCTCCCCCAACTCAAGAAGAAATTCCAATGATTTATCATACTCCCTATCCAAGCATAAAGCTTCAATCAGTGACTCACAGGCACTTACGTCTAGAGGCATGCCCTTCTCCAACATTTCTATAAATAACTCGAATGCATCAAGTAAGTTCCCTTCCTTAGAGAAAGCATCCAGAACAATAGAATGAGTGCCGTTCTCGGGATTGATACCCTTTTTCACCATTTCTCGGAATAAGGCACAAGGTCTTGATCTCTCACCTATCACATGATAGCCATGAAAAATTCTACTGTAAGTTGCACTGGTAGGCAAGAGATGCCTTTGTTGCATTTGTGATATCACCAATTCTGCTTCCTTCATCAGTCCATCCTTGCATAGGCGCTCAACGAGCGTCGCGTACGTGTCCTGATCAAGTTCAACGCATCCCTCTATCATCTTTTCCAGCAACTGCATAGTTTCCAGCACATTTCCATTCGTCAAAAATCTATCAATCAATGTGTTAAAAGCTTTAGTAGAAGCTATTCCCATTTGCAACATTTCCTGAAGCAAGTCCTGAGCTTTCTGCAAGTTCCCAGTCTTACAGCATCCATCAAAAAGAGCATTATAAACGATCCTACGTGGAGACATCCCCCTAAGTATCATAGAGTCAAACAAGACAAATGCCTCGGACAACTGTCCTCCTTTAGCTAAACCAGATATCACGGCAGTGTATGTCGCTCTATTTGGTCTTGCACCTTCTTTTAAGATGACATCTAATATCATTTTAGCTCTCTCAGTTTGACCTGCTCTAAAGAGCCCAACAATTAAGTGATTGCGAGTACGTAAGCTGGGACGGATACCTCTGTTTTGAGTTTCCTCATAAAGGGTAAAGGCCTTTTCAATCTCACAGTGTTGAACGAAATAACAGATGAGAGCTTCATACGAGGAAACGTCACCAACTAGATTCTTGCCGTGAAGTTCTGAAATGACTTCAGCTGCTTCTAGCATTTTTCCATTCACCAACAGACAGCGAAGGAGGACAAGGTAGGCCTCACGTGCTTCCAGAACCCCCAGCGCAAGCATACTTCTAAATACCCCAAAAGTTTCACTTACCTTACCTCTTTTGCAGTTTGCATTGATCAAAGCACTATAAATAGCTTTGTTGGGCTTAAACGCATGATGTAGCATCTGAGATAAGTAGCTATCTGCATTTTGCAAGTCCCCCGTTCCACAATATCCAATAATGAAGGCTTCATAAGTATACTGGTCAGGTTTCAGGCCTCTATCCAGCATTTCAACCAAACAATCGTGAGCAGTGTTCATCTTCCGTGCTCTGCAGAGTCCCTTTATAGCAATATTGTAATGGGGAGTAGCTGGCTCAATCCCCTGCTCGTGCATTGCTTCCAAAGTCATCCTCAACTGTTGTGAGTGGCCTTTACGAGCATTAGTCATCAACAAAGTTCTCCAGGTATGAACATTTTGCTTCCAATTCTCCTTTATCAAGTCTTGAAGAAAAGACCTAGCCATGTTCAGATCTTTATTGCGGCAGAGACAATCAATTATCAAACAATAGGTTGACTCAACAGGAGCCAGATTTTTCTTCTTCATTTCTTCAAGAAGCTCCAAAACCGTAGCGACATTACAACCTTGACGACAATGTCCCTCAATCAACAAGGTATAAGTGGTCAAATCACGCTCGATACCTTCTCTAGTCATCTCATCCACAAGTTCTTGTGCCTTCTCCATCTTACCACACTTGCAGAGGCCACGAAGAAGTGTATTATACAGGGCTAAATCAACGCCTTTAGCGTCCTTTATAACCTTCAATTTGAAAGCCTCGTCCACATCATCATGTTTCAAGTAACAATTAAGTAAAGCTTCATAAACAACTGTATCAGGCTTCACTCCCCTCTCATTCATCTCAGTTAATACCATTATCGCCTCTCTAAATCTATTCGCAACACAAAGCCCATCAATAATCGTGGTATAAATATAAATATTAGGTACTAACGACTTGGCTAACATGCAATTTTTAAGCTCAAGTGCCTCATCTACATGTCCACCTCTAAACAAACCCTTCATCAAAAAATTGTAAGTAAACATATTCGGACAATGCCCCTTCTCTTCCATCTCAGCAAACACTTTCTTGGCCTCGCTAACATTCCCCTCTCTACAATGAGCATCCACCATATTCGTATACGCAAAGGCATCGAACTTTACATCCGCTTCATGCATCGCATTACAGACTTGCCAAAACAATTTAAAGTTGCTAGCTTTCAACAGATCAGTCAACAAACGATTACAATACAACAAACTAGGCACATAATCAAGATCTTTACGAGCAAAAACAACATTAGAAGCTTCAAACAAGAACCCCTTTTCCCTATACTTATCCATCAACAACCCAAATATCCCAAGATCAAATTTTTTTCTTGACCCATCAAATTCTTTTTTACAATTATGAATAGAACTCAAAACATCTGAAGGGGGCAAACCAAAACTGATCAAAACTTCAAGAACAGTATTAGCAGGACCATACAAGCTATTACTACATAAAAGAGCAGCTAAATATGAGTGAATATTCAAATCTGAGTCAATACCAACTTTGTGTTTTGACCATTGGAAGAAGCTGAGGAGACGTTCAAGATGGTCAGTCAATTGTTGTTGGCCAAGAACTGAGCGAATTACATGTGGGTTTAGATTCTTGCGTAGGTTTGAGTATGAGGAGGATTCAATTAGGCTTTTCCATTTCTTGTGTTTGAGAATTTGGGTGAGTTCTTGGACCAAGATTTGGTGATTCTGAGGAAGTTGAGGAGAGTTGCAATAATAATTTGTGTTTTGAAATGTAGTTTTTTGTTCAATACATCTTGTGATTTTTCTATGTAAATTCCTCCACATTGTTTTTGGAATTTTTCAGTGCCTACTGGAGAATTTGGAAGATGGGTTTTTTTCTTTTCTTTTTTTCGTTTCAGCTAATAGTAATAGAATGCAGCAAAACAACAGTGAGATAGTGTAGTGGAGAATGGAGTAGCTCGGCATCAACTGAGGGAGTGACCAGGAAAAGTGTTATTGAAGTGCAATTGGAAGTTTCCTAGGGTGTTCATCAATGCAATTTTAAAAGGTTTCATTTGGTATTTTTGGCTTTAAACAATCTATGTCAATATTATATCATATTAAGTTAGCCTTTGGACATAAATTACCAAACCTTGAAAAAATAATGTTTTAAGTTGTGTATTTTGAAAGTTGAAGTTGTGTTTGGACATGCATTTTATATGAAAAAAAAAAAATTGAAGCTTTTATAGAAACTTGATTATTATTTTTTTCAAAAACTGATAATATTTCATGCACAAACAAGTTTTTAAATTTTTTTTTTAAACAAAGTAGCCAAACGGAAGCTAAAATTCAGTCCAATTCAGTCTTTTTCTTTTCGATTTCCATTTATGTGGTTAATTAAATTCGATAGACACTTTAAAATTATATTTGTCAATCAAACTTAGAATATACGATCCTAAAAATGGTTGTTATTGCTTGTTGCTTTATTTTTACTGTTCCTTAAGCCGAGGGTCTATCGGAAACAGCCTCTCTGCCTTTATAGGGTAGGGGTAAGACTGCGTACACACTACCCTACCCAGACCTCACGTATGGGATTAAGCTATGTTTGTTGTTGTTGTTGTTATTCCTTTGAAAAGAAAAACAATGAGACACAATATTATTAGAAGCCAAGTCATGAACTATCTAATTTAAAGTGAATAAAATTTGCTGTTATTCAACAAATTAAAGATCTAAAGAAATGTATCTCTGTGTAAGAAAGAGGAAGGAGCTCTTTACAGAGGAAAACAAAACGTACGTAATTGACTTCACTTAATTAATACTCCACTAACTGAAACATTTCGGAACAAAAAAAGGTAATAAATGACAACTAATATTCGAAATGGAAGTAGGAAACATCTAGAAGAAAATGTCCGACTTAGAACACCATAAAACACTGCCACTTAGGGATCGTTTGGTACAACGGTGGAATATCCCAGAATATCCGATGGGATAAGCTATACCACCTTTTATATAAGATAGCTAATCCTACCATTTTAGTGTACTCCTATAAGTTATCCTTGAATTAGCTAATACTCCAAACAAAATATGGGACAAAGTTAATCCCAAATTCTATCCCGGAATTATTATCCTTATCCCATGTACCAAACGACCCCTTAAGGAACTGCTTTCTTCAACCAAGCTACTAAACTTCACTGTCTGGTAAAATTAGAGAGGGCCCTTGAATATCCATACCATTGTTATGGATACAGTATAAGCAGAGTCAATTCCAACATGAAATCAAATCTTTAAGAAGGAAATATTATTCTTTTGGCAGGGAGAAAGTTAGAAGAAATGAGAATTGGGAAAGACATTTCAAAGTCTCACAATAGAATGGACAGCATGTTTATGATCTAGTACAAATCTAATATTCTTGTCAACATCGAACAAGAAAAGATAGATAGCTTTGCCCCTATTTGAAGATCCATCTATCTGAATTAGAACTCTGTAATATCATGTACTTGATCTAATGCTGAGAAATTGCCCCCAACAAGCTAAGTGTGAGTAGTTGTGGTCATTGCTTCTTCTCTTCTGCCTTCTTTGGCTGAAAATTTGAAAATAAAATAAAGTTAGAACCATAGCCATATAAATCATTACGAATAACAAATTTTCTGATAGACATACTCGTTGTTGGTACAATTAGCTAGCGAAAAGACTCAACATTTTTCTCTTTATTTTCAGAACCGGTCTCTTTCTATCTCTCTCGAATAGGCAAGAGTCAGATACAGAATAAGGTCTTTACAACTACAAATAATTTCAAATTTTGGGGGAGCAGAATATTATATGTGCTAGATATAATTTTCTTAGAAAGCTTAATCATTTTCTAAAAAAAGAAAAAAGGATAGAGAGAGATTTATAATTAATATTATCTCTGGAAAAGGACATATATGTAGTTTTAAATGTCCACATCTCTTTCATAATCAGAACGAAGCACAGTTCTGGGACAAGCATAACACAGCAAAAAAAAAGGAAGTAAAGAGCAGGGAACGATAGGAAAAAGATAGAAATAGCCAAACTCGGTGTACAAATGGTCCAAACAGAGGACAACACAACTCAAAATTCAGAAATCCAGGAAAATAGACACACATTAGACAGGTGTTTAAGGCACGTTCATGACCTAAAAGTATCGATTGACTGCATGAGTTTAAATTTGGCGTCCGTGGTTCATAAGTTTTAACATCTAAAAGCACATATCTCCTTGTAACAAACACCTCCTATTGCCTTTTCCTTTCAGGAGTCTTGTCTTTTCCTCGGGTAACTTGGCCTTCTTTTTTCTTTTCTGAAAAAGACCTTGGGTAACTAAGCCTAATCAACCACTATATGGACATAATAGAGAGTTCCATTCTATTATGAAGAAGGAAGTGCTCCCAGACTGCATGATCAACTTAATGGATGTGCTGTCTTTCAGTAAGCAATGTCTTGCAGCATGCTCATCCAATGACTCAAAAGCTGGCCCCAAGTTTTCACAAAATATGATTGATTTTCTTTTTTGAGATGGAAAATATGATTGATTTTCTTATACAAGTTCCTCTCTGCCATACAGCTAAGCGCGGAAATCCTCAAACATAGCCGAGTCTGAATCCGCCGTTTTACATTGTTTGAACACACATGTGATTTTACATAGTTTTAAAACTTCACATTTAGGGTCTATAGACTCAGTCAAGCTCTTTAAGAACTTTTTTAGTACAGGTGCCTATTAACTCATAAAGCTTGGAACCCCTGTCCTAGCCTCACCATTCATATCCAGACAAGATGTCACGTCTTACATACTTTTGGCATCACACTTCACCCCTGCGACCATGTCTTGCTCATTATTTGACACTCTGCATCAAGCATTTAGCTATTCTGACAGGAGCTTTAGGGTACTCGCCTTCCTAGACTAGTAACTAGCAATTGATCTTGAAGCATCCCAACAAGAGTAACTCTTATGATGGCAACAAAATACAGTACAACCACCAAGGAATAAATTCTTGCTCTTATCAAGTGATCGGCTTAAGAACAGAAAGCTCAAAGTCTCTTATACATTTATTTTAACATATTTTTTCCAAGGGTCTGGTTTTAATCCACAAAGCTCCTCAAAACCACTAATTACCTGTAAAAAGTAATAAGGGAGACATAGAACCCCATTATTGCACTTATAGTCACAACTCTGGACATCGTCTAGATTCCACTGATCTTGCTGGAGTAACTGATTAATGCAATTTTGATCCATCTAAGGTAATGTCTTGGGAAAACACATGCCCTACTTATGCCCTGCCATTGTATTAGGGGGAAAATATAAAAATATGTGTGGCCTCCACTGCCTAACAAAGATGAAAACCTTGGTTGCATCTCCTTAGGTCCCCCTTATTAATGATAGTTGATTACTTCCCACATGATACACATACTTTCAGCTCTCCAAGAAGTGTTGCTGCGACACCTCTAATACAACAAGTTTCACTTTTTCATCCAATTTTGTCAAGCCACCAAAGGATCTCACATATAAACTCTCACATCCTCTTCAAATATCATATATAAAACAAAAAAATAAATACTCGAAAAATCAGAAAAAGAGCAGATATTTCTACGCATAAAAGAAACATAAACAGTTGTAAAAGCTATGCACACAATACGTTCAACAATTTGCCTCGACCACATCAAAACGAAAATCACATAGCAATAATGGAAAAAGGGAAAGCTAGCACCTTTATACCAAGAAATGGTTGTTGGAGCTCTTCATCAGGAATAATAACGGGCCACTTCTCACCAGCTTCACGAAACATCTGTTCAGTCTCAAGATACTGACCCTTTTCAAGAATCATGGTACGGATGTTCTGTGCGGGTGTAGAAGTGGCGTCATAGGTTTGCTCGACTCCGTTGACGAAGGTGACAGTGATTTCGGGTGGTTGGTCATCCGTGCGACGCTTGACCTGTACTTGACAGCTTGGATTAGATTCTTTTGCTTTAGGGGCATTACACTGAGCCAAAAACTCCATACATGAAGCTGTGCGTGGGTCTAGGGCATTGAACTGGATCTTCACCTTTGACAAGAACTTCAACATCTTCTCTTTTGCTTCCTAAAAAGGTAAGATGAAAACCTCAATAAGCAAACCCATCAAGATTAATTAAATCTTTCAGCGTGGACAACAAAATAACCAAAATTGCAACCTTTATTGCTACAACCAACCTAAAATAAAGCATACATCAAGAATACTAAATGTAGATATACACTTTTTTTCAACTTTAAATAATTATATATGTTTCAAGAAGAATGAACAATACCAGTTAAAGCTGGACATAATACAGTGAACAACAAAGACAAACGCGATACTAAAATATGTTACAAGAAGAAGCCGAGATTAATTAAATCTTTCAACGTGAGAGACAAAATAACAAAGATGCAACATTTATTGCTATAACCAACCTAAAATCAAACATAAACCAAGAATACTGAACGCAGCAGGTATACACTTTTTCTTTGAGATGGAAATGATTTATCGTAAGAGCAGGTATACACTTTTTAACTTCAGACAATTATATATGTTTTGAGAATAATGAACAATACCAGCTAAAGTTGGACTTAATACAGTAGCAGCAAAGACAATGCCGAGATTAATTAAACGTTTCACGTGGACAGCAAAATAACCAAAAGATGCAACTTTTATTGCTACAACCAACCTAAATTCAAGCATAAATCAAGAGTACTCCAAAAGATGCAACCTTTATTGCTACAACCAAACTAAAATCAAGCATAAATCAAGAATACTGAATGCAGGTATACTCTTTTTAACTTCAAATAATAGTATAATATATGTTTCAAGAAGAATGAATAATACCAAATAAAGTTGGACACACAATACAGTGAGCAGCAAAGAGAATGTCATATTAAAAATCTAGGTTTGGGGTTTAAGGAACAAATACAAAGCAATTACAATAAAGATAAACTAAAAGCACAAATCACAAGCAATAAATGTGAAATTGATGAGATCAGAACACTGCAAAAGTTCGAATTAAAAA